ACTTCAAGTTCCCTTTCCGTCAACCGCTCGATAGCCTCTACACACGCGCAGCAATCCACAGCTTTGAAGTCTCATTCGTGCTTTGAACTTGTGTGGGTGTGTAAGAGGTTTGGCAACATAGTATTTGTACGGGCCCAGGCTAGCTTCAGAGCAACATGCAAACGACTATAGGATTAAAACTAAACTAAATAAGCCACCTGCCTGACCTTCGTTTTGGGCACGTTCAAGGGCTGGATTCAATCTTGTGGGCATGCTTCTGCTTGCACCAGAGTGGTCGATTGTGGACACCTGAAGGGGACTCAGGTGAGGATTTGGAAGGTCAGTCAAGGGTCCATATGCAATATGCTTCCATAGTCCAACCCTTAGGGTTTATAGGCGGTATGTCTAGGTGCACACTCCCCGAAATAAGCATAGAAGTGGATGGCATAGCCCCAACAGGTGGTTTTCCACTTCTATGATTAGTTCAATCGATGTACACAGTGTACCCCTTGGACTTTTTGGTATCTCCATTGCTCACTGGCCATTTCTGAAGGTCTATCACACTTGTGGGTGCAATGATGAACCGGTGATATCAATTATCGAGCACCCAGCAATAGTTGGTGAAAACCAGACCATAGGTAGGGTCATGCTCAACCTTAGTGGATCAGATCCAGTGTCAACCTGTAAAGCAAGTCCCGTTCATGTGGCCATGCTGCACTTCCCACAGTGAGACCTCCCATTCCATGTCCAGACACCAAATGATGTCAATGTGGATAGGTTTGGCTACGGCCTAAAACATCGGATTCCATCCAAACCCCCCCCTGTGCAGAGGAAATTTCCGGGCAAAATGACACCGAATCCCTCAATTGCCAGGAAGCGCAGGTTTTTGTTTTGACATGGTTACTTCTGTGTGGGCAGAACAAGACATGAAGCAGATTTGACACGCGGCCGCAAGCAGCTGCGCGAGCTCATTTGCTTGCTTCGACGCGCAGTTGTCGAGAAAGGGAAGCGCTGGCTTTCGTTTTGCAGCTTCTCAGGTTGATTTTTAGGATTCGCGCTAACTTCGGATGGCGCATGGAGCCATTTCTCAAAGGCTTTTTGAGAAATTCTGGCGAACACATAGCTTTTGCATTTACGGCAACGAATATAGGTTTTGGATGATGTCTTTCATGATTTCTATGTGCGTCTTATGCTTGATTGGTTGTTGTAATTGGGGCAATATAGTCCTGGGAAAGAGTATCTCGGAGCTCTTGAATGGGACTCTTGGAGTGGAACCTTTGTTTGCAATGTTTGTAAATCGCGTTAGTGCGGAAGGGCGCCTAGTTGTGCCTATTTTGGGGGGATTTGGATATTAATTCTTGAAGGATTTCCTTCTTCTGTTGGATGAATGGCACCTTGCCTGATTTAGTGCTCCTACCTTTGTGAAAGTAGTGGGATTTATCTTTCAATAAGGTTTTAATTCTCTTTGTATTCGCCAGGAGGATGCTTTCCGCGTCTTCATTAATGTTGGTTTGTAAATCGAGAATGGTAGTGGGAGTGTGCCGCGCTGCAACCTCCTTGATAACCTTCATGGTCTTTTTATGCAGGTAGTTTCGAAGAGGATTCTCCTTGAATTCCTTGCGCGCAAACAGCAAGGGTCGGATTATTTCGAAGTCCTCGCACTCGAGCCCGGTGAATAAGTCGGGGTAATTCTCGTAGGCTCGGTGTGGCGTCCATTGCTTCCGCACCTAGTGGTCATAAATGACGACTTGGATCTTCTCCTTGACATGCAAAGCCAGGTGTTTGAGAGCATAGAAAAATACTCTATATTTGGAGATTTTTCCTGGACATATCTCAGTGAATGAGGCAATAATTTAAATAGTATATAATATATATATATATACATAATAGTTAAATTAATATAGATATAATAAATAATTGTAATATATTGATTTTATCGATTTTTGTTTGATTTTTTTGAAATTTGAAGTTAACTATATTGATACTTAATGACGATTTTAAAATTTAAGAAATCAAAATTTCTAGGTTAACACTAGGGAAATATATAAAAATAAAATGATTCGTAATAATTAATATAAATAATTTTATTAATTGCTAGAATTAATAAAAATGCTAAATAGTTATTAAAAATAAATTATAGATTTGATTTGAAGAATCTTTGAAATATTTAAGGTTTGATCGTTATTATTATTTAATAATATTTTTAAAAATATAATAAATTAAAATATTTAGATAAAAACGATAAAAATATACTTACAAATTTAGATTATTTTTAGGCATTTAATATCATTTCAAGGAATGAAAATAAATCTTAGGTAATTGTTAAAAGTAATTTATATCCAGATGTTTAGGAGTTAAATTTTAAAGGAATTTGAAGTATTTCGGAGCCGACCGTTATTAATGCATATATAATATTGTTATCGAAAATTAAAAACTAAATATCTAGGTTAATCTATGGAATTTAGGTAATTGTCAAAAGTAAATCTAAGGAATGTTGAAATGTTTCGGGCCCGGCCGAATGCTTAAGATTTTTGAAATCCAATAGATAGAGATATTTAGGTTAGTAACAGGGAAAGATATTTAACTTAATTCCACGGATTAGGAATTAGGATGAGTCCCAGGTAGCTGCCAAAAGCAACCTATGGCCGATTGCCCATGGACCGGGTCTCAGGGGGGTCTTGAAATATTTCGACCGTTGCCAATGCTTAGCATCGCCTTCGAAACCCAATGAATAGAGATATCCACACTAAGATTAGGAAGAGGTATTTAGGCCAGTCCTACGGACCAGGGGCAAGCCCGAGGTAATTGCCATTGGCAAGGACCAGGACAAATCGATGGCCGTCTGCCCATGGACCAGGGTCCAAGGCTTTTAAAATGTTTCGGACCCGGCCGCTGCCAATGCCTAATACCGCCTTCGAAACCCTATAGATATAGTATCTAGGGCCAGCACCAGGGAGAGGTGTTTGGGCCAACCCAAGGGATCAAAATAAAGCCGAGGTAATTGCAGGGACCAAGACAAGCTCCAGGTAGCTGCCAAAAGCAGCCTATGGCCAATTGCCATGGAACAAGGTCTACCGGATTTTGGAATGTTTCGGGCGGCCGTTGCCAGTGTAGAGCGGTCTAGGTTAACACCAGGGAGAGGTGTTTAGGCCAGCCCAAGGGACCAAAACAAGCCCGAGGTAGTTGCAGGGACCAGGAAAAGCCGATGGCGGGCTGCCTATGGACCAGGGTCTAAGGGGGTTTGAAATGTCTCGGGCCCGGCCGTTGTTAGTGCCTATCGTCGCCTTCGAAAGCCTATAGATAGAGGTATCTAGGCCGGTACCAGGGAGGCATTTAGGCCAGCCCAAGGGACCAAGACAAGTCCGAGGTACTTGCCAAAAGTCCCTAATAGAAAAAGATTCAGGGGAGGTCCCAATTGGAGGTTGCAAAAGCCAGGCCAAGAGGGCGATTGTTCTGGATATTGCAAGGCATATCCATTGGCAACGGCTTCCACCCTACGGTGTCCTAGGCGCCGCCCCGGCTAGGCGTCAGCAAGGCCAGGATCGACGGATATATATATATATATTGAAATAACAAATGTAATATATATTCTATATAATTGATGTTTCCATATATTGTTTGCAATATATTTTCTTAATTTATATATTTAGATTCGGATTCGAATTTATATATATATATCGATTTAATGATTTCATAATTATATATTAATCTATATATATGGTATATTAATGCCGCATTAGAAGTTCTTTATCATATTTAAGTGGGAAGAAGATAAAATATATCTATATATCAAAATCTATTTATTATTCTTATTAATAATATGTATCGTTGATTTATTTATGGGACGCTAAAAAAAACCTTTTGCCGAGATTGCTGAACCCAAATTTAAAGATTTAGTTAATATTAGAGTCGATTGATGCAAATTTGGCATCGGGACAATTCCTCAAAATAATTATGTTAAATAAAATGTTCTCGATAGTCCACATCGCATGACGCCCCCATTCCCACGTCATCAATTTCTCCGCGCATATGATAGACCAGACGGGAGGCTATGACCATAACCGATTCAATATTACCGGAGTTCTTCAGGAAAATATATCAAGCAGATCCATCGTCTGTACAAACAACAAGGATTTATAAATGATTTATATTAATTCTCATTGATAGTGTTGACCATACCTTGCAATACGATGCCTTCGAATGGCATCGACGCATCCGAATCTGAATTTCAAAAAAATATCAGCATTCTTTGATAATATATTTAACGATCCAGAATTTCATCTCCCTGGCCGTCCGGCACTTGAGGCTGAACTTTTCATCTTGAAAGGCCTGACTGGCGGTCGGAATGCTTTATCTGCCACAGAGGTCTTGACACCTGATTGTCGACTATTATATGGAAGATTCTTGCACCGGATATTGTTCCTATGATTTTTCGTGCAATTCAGGATAGATAGCAGTAGGCTA